TATATATATATATATATATATATATATATATATATATATATATATATATATATATATATATATATATATATATCGAATTCCTATAATATTCAAAACATTTCTCTCCTGCTCACAATAAACATCGTGTATTAAATATTTTACAATATTACTAAAAATTCATTATTTTAATTTTTTTATACGATACGTGAAAAATCGCTTATTTGACAGTATCGGACGATTATTATTGAGCTCATTCCAAAAGCATAAGAACAGATGCGAAGAATCTGTTATTCCTTTGTTAGTTTTAAAATAAAAAATAGGCAAATTCGAAAGAGACCCCGAACATGGCAGCTGCCGTTGCTCTTTACGAGTCCGATTTTTTTGAAAATAAACGAAAAAGATCCGAAAAAAATTCGGGGCTTTCGCGCGCGCGAGAGGAGTAGCTTTGCGGAGACGCCTTAGAGGAAACGAAAAGCACATGGAACAGTTTCCTGCCGCCACGAAGAAAAGGAAGACCTTGGAGTAGCGCGAGCAGAAGGAAACGAACAAAGGAAGCTACAACGGGGAGTTCCCCACTGTAACTGATAGCTTCAGATAGCTTCGCGCTTCCTATTGTCTTGTATGTTCGGAGCCGATATCGAAAGCGAATCCGGCAGAATGCCATTTTCGAGGCTTCCACTGGGAATTTACAGTATTCGTAGCGAAAGGCGACAATATGCGTCGTCATCTTCATTTATATGTGCCCCCGTGTCGTTGAAAAGCGCGAGCAAATTGTATAATTATACACGAGGAAAAAGGATTGGTTGATTTTATGCGACAATAAATAAATAAGTTAAACGTGTTCCCTTCAACCTGCAAAAACTTTTAGTTAGAGAAAACAGAATTTCTGATTTTTAGACTCGAATTTGGTCCATAAGAACCAGAAATTTTGTTTCTTTTAAACTTACAAATTTTAATTTTTAATTGAGGTAAATAGAACTGCTGATTCTTGCACCCGAATTTGATATATAAAAACCAGAAATTTTATTTCCTTCAATTTTTGTTGGAGGGAAAACAGGATTTTTCTGGTTCTTAGATCCGAATTTAATTCATATAAGCCAAAAGTTGTACTCCTATCAGCTATAACGCGTTTAATTTGTTTATTGTTACGTTAAACCAATGTTGTTCAACCAAACTTTTTTTCTGTTTACGATTTTTTAAGTCCAGTCATTAAAATTGCGAGAAGACACGTGTGCACGATATTTTTTTTTTTAATTACTTCATTATTACAACGTACGATTATGTAGTGTTAAAATTACCAACCAGCCCCCTCAATTATATTCGATTTCTGCTGAAAAGATTTTTGTTAATTAGAACTAACATTGATATTTTCTCGGGTGAAGTAGAGTTGCGGAAAAACTTGACGGAGCTGAATAGAATTCGCGAGGGAATTTTCACTGAATCTACTTTCGCGATATTGCCGTAAACGTATTCAGAAGAGTCAAATGTCGGGACGAGTTGTCTGGAAGCGCGAAGCAAGTATAGCGAGAAACTACGTATCGCTCTATTACAATGCAATTCGTTTCCTCCGATACTTCTTTCGCATCCTCCACAAAGTTACCTTCTTTAAAAAAGAGAGAAGTTCGCCCCCGTGACTTCAATTTACATCGCGCGTCGCGCTTCTTTTCGCGTGGAAATCGTTCTGTGTGATTGCAAAAATAGACGGGCGAGGGACAAAGCGACACGTAACAACGAAGTTGTTAAAAACGCTGCGAATTCGCTCAAAGACAAATTAAATGACAAAGAGCGATGTACGTGCCGTTTCGTGACGTGACTGCGCGATGCGTATCGTCGCGCAGTCGCGACAACGACAGAGCTCCGCTATTATTCAGCGCGAAATTGCGTGATAATATTTTAAACGCGCGCACCTCGCGGCATTAATCGCGAGCGCCGGGCTGGCCGATGATACGCGATTTATGCGAAATTAGGAAGAATCGCGCGGAATACGAAGAAATATGGAAAGTGAAGTATAGAGACGCTGCGCAGCGACATAAAGCGCGCGACTCTGCATAGCGAAGCGCGGCGGAAGGCCGCGGGTGGCAGCGGATGCAACGAACGCAGGAACGTGAGAATCATGCATATGGCGCCCGGGGAGTCTTGAATTTCACGAGGCCCCGCATAACGCCGCATTCCTCGGGGTTGCATTTCTGAAAAGCCCCCAATCTAGATGCCCGGGTCTCGCGATGCGCATTTTGTCCTCCATTGGGAGTGGTTAGGTTCCCGTTGGCTTAGGCACTTGTCGTTTAATAATAAATTTACAGCGTTCGGCGGGAGAACGCGCGGGGAAATCCCCCGTCGACAAGGCGCAAGATTCCGTTACGTTTTTCATAAGCACGCTTCGCGGTTAAAACATGTATATCCGCGCGAGCGCGAAGGAGCGCGCGCGATGCATCTTTCTCCGGGGGTGATATATTACGCGAGAGTGGAGAAAAATATCGCCGTAACGTTTCATGTTTCGCAGTAACGATGCATGCGGGCTGCGTTCAGCAGAGGTCGGATCGTTCATTGATCGTTGTTTCTGATTGGTATATCTTTTCTCTATCTATCGAAAATCGAGAAATACACTCTGTGACACAAACAATAATCACTCACTCAGACTTGGCCTCTGCTCAACGCAGTCATTCTCGTAATTTCTTAGATAGGATGTGACCCAGGCAGCACGAATGTCTGAAATGCGTCTTGGAGATATTTAAAGCACGTCTGAAACGCGTGTGATGTCTTCTAGACATCTCGAAGACGCCTTTTTAGACATTCATGCTTCGCCTGGGAGCAAAGGAAATTCGAAAAGGGAAATCTTACGATGGTCACTCCGGGGGAAGTTCGCGTTAGGCGGTTGCTCACCGAGTATTATGGAGGCGTTCGCCCGCTGTACGAGCTTATCCACGGTGTTCTTGAACTCTTTCGACTCCTTGATTCTGATCTGAGCCCGTGACACCTCGCCCAGCCGCGGTCTGCCCAGCAACGCCATTTTCTCTTCCTCCGTTCTCTCCTCCGGCTGCTTCATCTCCGCCGCCGCCGCCATTCCTGCCTCCGCTGAAACCAGAAAATCACGCTTTGCTGTTTCAATAACGTCGAGATATGTTCTAAATCGGGATAAGTTGAGTCGACTCGCAGTCAGACAAGAACAACGAGAAGGATCGCGCGGTAATTAGCCCTTCGCCGTCTTGAAATCGCTCCTGCGCGCGGCGTAACGAGCACACGAACGACGTGAAACGCCTGTTGAAAAGCTCCTTATTGAATATTTCGTCGGATGGATGTCTCAATTCTATCGGATCGGTCGTTAACGTCGAATCCTTTCAACGAGTCGGAGACACGAATTTCAATATTGAATTTTAACATAGGAACGTCGAGAAATGTATACCGAGGTAGCTTTAATTGAAACGAATGACAACGACTGACCTCTCACGCTTACAAAACTTGGAGAAATCAAGACAAATGACGACATAAATTTTGCTTTGCATTTAATTCGCGTGCTCGCAGAGAAAACGATCTTCAATTGTATAGCAATTCCAATCAGGGTCGCGCGCGCGCGCGCGATACGGAAACGCTATCGGACGCGTGGCTGATTGATTTCTCCGTGTATATAGATTCATCTGGACAGGCTTTAAACGCGACCGATAAACGCGACAGTTCGCGTTCTCGCGTGGATAAGGCTTTACTATCGATTGCCCTCATGAATTATAGTCGCATGCTTCTCTTAGGCCAATTCCGTGTTCTGCATTCGTGTCTGACCACATGCCGACTCGCACCACTTGCACTGACACTTTCCTGCTAGTGCACAGTGCGTGTTCCTGTATGTGTGTGTGTCTAGCTGTGTGGGTGTGTAAAATCAGCTCAATGAAAGAGAACAAAAGTATTCTACGTGTACAAATGTAGGAACGGTGTGTCGAATGAAATGTGTGTTCATTTTGTCGTTATTGCGTGATCGTTATGTACACGTGTGACGGGTCCACCCTCGAGTTGCGTACAGTCAGCGGCGGAAAGATCGCAATATTTTTAACTCGCCGAGCTCCGACGCGCATCCGACATCCAATAGGAAAAATTATTTTCCGAGAATGACTGAGAAGAAAGGAAGAACGAATTCTCCCGTTAGACATACGGGTGCGTTGCGAAAGTCGTCGAAAATAAAATGTCACAACCTTCTTGCCTCTCTGACTGTACCCAGACAGCACAAACTTCTCCAAGATGTCAACGAGATGTTTAAGAAAAGTGGAACGTCTCTTATACGTCTCTCGGACGTCTTCTGCAAGTTTGCGCGCTGTCTGGCTACATACGTAGTTCGCGCTTAACATATCCTGCATATTGAACGAGGTTTGCAGAAAAAAGGTACGGACGTGTAGCCTGTTCTCAGAGGACTGCAGAGAATTTATCCATTTCGTTTACTCACTTATTTATTTAGTTTCACTTTGCTTCGGCTATTTATTTATTTATTTATTTATTTAGTCGCGCTCTCTTCTCCGGAGTGTGCGAGCACCAGTTTTAGCGAGAGCGAACTCGCTCTTCGGAGGTCAAAAAAAAAAGTGAAAGAAGAAAAAAAAGAGGACCAGTCATGCCCCGAACATTCGCCCGGTGAAAAGACGCGGACGACAGGTCGTCCTTTCTTTGTGGTTGACGCTTTTTATAGGGGAATCGCTGAAAACTTTCCCCGCCTTCCTCCCCCGGGATAATTCCCCGGGACTTTTCCGGGAAATCGGAAGCGATATTGAGTTTCCTCGGGCGAAATTCTTATGTGACTCGTGACTCAGTACGGATCTGTCGTCGCGCGCTTCTCACCCTCGCCTCGTTCACTCTCCCGCGCCCTTTATACAAGATTACGCACTTCGAATTTTGCACCATTTCACCCTCGCTAAACCCTCGATAAACTGGCGGATCATCCCGCCCATTCCTTCCCTGCCGCCCGTCACGCCATTACGACAGATCGCCTTTCATGACGTAATATTATATTATTGTGACATAATATCATAATTCGCGACAAGTCCGAATATATTGTGAACAATTAACGCGAAAGTGTCCTCTAACGACACGTGGAAACGTGAATAAATTAATATGTCGGCCGTCACGCTGATTTCCACTGATTATTTCGACTAAAGTTCGAATCACCAAAGACACAGTAAATAAATACATTTCGCGATGCATGTATTCGTTGGTACGTTCCATTGTTTTCCTACTGGCTACATACTTAATTTGCACTAATTGGTTATATTTTATACGTGACGTTAATTAGTGAAGCGCTACAATGTATTATAATATATAGTTACAGTCCTTCGCGTGTTGAAGCAAATAATTTAGATATCTCTTTCCTCCTTTTCGGCTACATTAAAATTGGATATTCGAAATATTTCTTGAGATGTGCTATTAACGTAAAACATATTGAAAACATCCTCCACTATTACTCCAGCTCCCTTCTTTCATCGAAACCTTCGTCGTCCCCGAAGATATCTCTTTTGCGAAGGGGATAGAAGTTTGTTTACTGTGGCTTTCACTCTGTGTATGTATATATATATTCTCATGTTACCCTTTAAAAGCTTCTTATCCCTCTGAAAGCACATATCTCGCCGAAGCACGGCGAGCTCACTTTCCGCGCCGACGAGTACAATTTCGTTTGATTTTTCCTTGATGTGCGCGCGTGCGCGATGTTAGTAATTTCGACGGGATTGAACGTATAAATAATAGAAAAGGGACAGGTACAAATTAAGTTATTAAGCGCGGCGCGCGTGTGCGCGCTTTGTAGAGCCACGTCCGTGACCTCTCAACGGCCACGAGGCTCATTAAAGAGACGCGTTCGAACGAAAGAAATGGGAATCCGATTTATCAGACAGCGGGTGGAAGAGGGAGGGGGCGGACGATTAATAATGGCGGGTCGTTTCTGGTCTAGACGGGGATGAAATCGATGAACGATCGGACGATGAACGTCAGATGCAGCCAGGGCGCGATTTATCGCGTTTGAAATCCGGCCTTCGTCGAAAAACCCGGCGGGTAAACTCGCAGGAAAATTCGTCCCGGAAGTTATCCCGCTCTTTGTGGCTTTTTCAGCATTCCCTTCCTTTCTGTACACCGCCCCACGGCATCTTTGAGCTTTTTCCGTTTGAATGCTGCGACGCAACGCGCTGCGTCCCGTGCGAGCGGCGTCGTGTCGCAATGTGAAATTAACCCTCCACGTCTACGTGTCCTCGCCATATAATGCAATATTCCTTTGAGAGTACTTTTTCAACAAAAAATATTTGAAAAAAAGAAAAGGAGGAAACGCGCAATTCTCTCCTCCCTGAAGCCGGAAGTAATTAGACGTGGCACGATGATACGAGCGGGATTATACATGTAAACGCTGCGTTGAAAGATTGAACTGGGGAGTACTCGCACGTTATAAATGGATTACAGAGGCGTGAAAGGATCGATTAGACGGGATAATGTTTCATGAATAGCTCACATAGATTAGCGTAGGCGCGCGATTATTATCCTTCATCTGGATTACGTTCTCCTAATGTCTAAGTGGTTTGCTACTCGCAGGCTGCAGAATTATTTAGATCGATAATGCATCGTGATGCATCTTCGAAGAGAATCAACCAGTTCGAGGTGACGATATATGATACTCGGGTAATGGGGTTGTTGAGAGAGAAAAACGGGTGAAAGTGAGAACATACAAAGTACAATGGATGTGAACTAATGTTTTCTCTCTTTCCACAATTTTTCTAATCTCAGGTAACGAAGAAATTCCGAATTATGTGATATTTACGCCACATATTATGATATTATATATTATATAATGACATTATATGATATATGTATATATATATTATATTTATGATATTATATGAAAGAGAGAGAGAGAAAGAGACTTTCTTTTAATATAATAATGTGTAATATGCATTTGTATGCAACTGCATCCTCAATGGACCAACCATTATTCACTACTAACCGGTATATCTTCCAAAAAAGGAAAAAAAAGGGAGAAAATGTTATAATATATTTTTATGTAAAGAGAGTCGGATTATTTCTGACTCTCCAGATTCCGGCCAAATTTTGCATCGCACAATCGGGAAAATTCTCAGCTTCTAGCGAAAGTAGGACACGGTGATTGAATACGAGTCGCAGTAACTAATATCGCTATGGGTTTTCCATCGGAATACTTTAAACCTAGTTGGTGCCGGCAAGTCGGAAATAAATGACGACGAGAACCGGCCCCCTTTCGCGGGGTGGTTTTAACTCACGGACGATGGTGGAATTTTACGAGCGCCGCTCGATCAAGACGTCGAGATTATCGGTAAATATAAGAAACGGCGACGAGGGCGGATAGCACGAGGGGGAGGGGGGAAATCGAATATGGGTACGGCGGGATCATTTGGCGATTCTCGAGGGGATTACCCGAGTCTGTGCGCCGGACGCGGAGCAACGAGCGCGCCACTCGATACACTCTTTCTCTCCCTTGCGGAGATAAAGGAAACGTAATTCTAGACAATATCAAATCGTCCGGCCGCTGTTACTCGCGCAATCGCACAAAACGCGAATAAATGGTTATTTAAAAGAAAGGAGAAAAGACAAAAAAGGAGAAACAGAATGGAGAGAGAAACATATTGAGATTCGCGGCGAAGCTCTCGGAGATATCGTAGAATGTAATTTTTTATCGGCTGGCTTAGCACGTACGTAGGGGTTGATGTAGCGGTTGAAATTACTCCTGCTACTGCCAGCAAGAGTAAAGTGGATCGACCGAGGGATAGATGGGGTTGGGAATGGAGGTGGTTAATGCGAGAGTGGACTTATCATGGATCACCCGGACGGCTGTTGCAACGGCAGGCAGGCAGACAGGCAGGCAGGCGGGCGGGAATTGGTCCAGGCTGGAGAAGTTGGGAAACTTTTAACCTCGAGGAGCTCGGATGATAAAACATTCTCCCCCTACTCGGTCCGTTAACGAAACCATTAGTGAAATATGCAAGAAAATCTATCAGCGAAATTAAATAGTGAGAGGACCCGCCAGCGAGGAAATGAAAGAACAACAGGCGGGGTGATAAAGTCCAGCAGACTTGAACTAGGTGGTCGTA